CTCCATGGCAAATTAGGCCTTCTCATATTACAATTGGAGAAGACAGATTCCATTAGCAGTATCTGAAATTGAGTGGAGAGCTGCACTGTTATCAGACTTGACTCATAAGCACTGCTATTAATCAGAGCTATGATAGCATTTATATATTTCAAGCTATCTGCTGCCGCTGTGATATTCTGCTACAAAGGGTTGATGGGACTTAGGAAAGTGAACAATAGAGCTTTCTGGGAAAAGCAGAGTAAATCAAGAAAGTCTATGACTTCCGCACATTCTGAAGGGATTGTGGTTTACATAAATTTTCTCCCAATTGGAGATTGAGCTCTTCCTCATCTTACACATGGGATTTAGTTGTCACTCAATGGTAACAGCTGTGAAAAGGTGAAGCGGCCCACCGCTCAGAATATTGCCTTCGCTTTTAAAGCAATTAACCCATGAACAGGAGGATACCTGGTGATATCAAAGGGATTAGTCCAGGCAGTGCATTATTAACATTTCCTTGAACTAATTCTAACTCTGACTAGCTGTCAGAAAAGACTCTACAGTCTTAAAAAAGAGTTTTTGCCCTGCTTTTTTTTCCCCTTCAAAATGAAGTGCCACTATTTGAGCCTAATATGTCCCTCTGCTTATAAGAAAATGCAAATGAACTGAGCCCTTAATATGCTTAACCCGTCTGAGTCAATGCAATTTTAATACAAGTATGAGAGAAATATATGATCAATTAACTAGGGATCAAGCCAGATATTCTCCTGAATGGAAATTAATGCTCCAGTACTTTCCATTCTTCTTCAACTACAAAAACTTGGTGACTATTTGTTACTTAGGCATAGTTACCTCTGAAATTAGGGAGAGCTTCGCATTATTCTCTCTGGCAATAATCTAAAATACTCTTTGAGCTGGAAAATCCAAATGTCCCTTAAGCAGGAGATTCTACATTCTCTAAGGTATGGCATTTTAATTTTCAGTTCTTTATTGAATGGAATCTTAGCTGAGGCTCTAAGAATAGCAGACACAGTGTTCAGACTCAAGTATAACTGTTCCAAAAGTTTCATCAAATTAATCTTTAGCAGCGGCAGAATGTTTAGAAATGTGTAACTTATAAAAAATAAAATGCCCCATAAATAAAATACTGGCACAAAATAATCTACCAGGAGATATTTAAATTTTACTGAAATTGGCTGTAAGTTCTTCGTAGTAAGCAGGCATAGTTTCAAGATACTTTTAATTATTATTAATAGTCATATATTCCAGGGAACCTGCTTGACATTGAGATCTGACTTACTGTACAATGTTAATGGTGTTAGAAAGTTTTTTAATGCAAGTTTCCTGAAACAGTGCCTTTTAGGAAAAATATTTGAAAAACCGTTTATTTAATAATTAGTGACTTTGTCTTTCTTTAAAATAAGCACTGAATTTTGATTATAAGAATTTTACTTTTGATTCATGAGTGTGCAACAAATATTGCTAAATGAATTCTTCTCTAGTTCCATTTGGCCCTTAACAGTTTAGTCTGAAAAGCCTATGCTGACTCTCAAGCCTGTTGCGAATATATTCCCTGCCCCGTAACTATTGACATACACACGATACAGATATGACCTCACCTGAGATCATAAGCAATTTAAATGTTCCCCTAGGTAAAGAATTTTTATATGATGCTAACAATAGACTGCATTCCCTTTCAGTGACACCATGTAAGCACAGTGATGTTAATGACAGTGATTTCAGTACTCCTTCCTTACTAAGTATATAGGACCTAGCTTGATGTTTCCTAGAAAATGAGTCTGAAATTCAAGTACTAAGTAATGCTAAATGATGTTCATATTAGTGATTTACAGTACCTATAACTTAAAAAATTTTATATTAATAAGATTTGTGAATTTCAAATAAGACACGTTAAATATCATCCTATCAAACTGCAATATCATTTACTTTACTGGCCTTAAAAGAGAAAATCTCAGTTCCTCAAAACCATTTACTTTAATGGCCTTAAAAGAGAAAATCTCAGTTCCAGTCTTAAATGCACAGATGTACAACATTAATAAAACAAACACTGTTTCCTATAAACGAAATGTATTAAACTCCCTTAACATAATGCATGCTTTAGAATACCCCTGAAGGGGACAATACTCAAATAAATACATGTAGAAACAACTGCCACAATCTTACTATTTTTAATTTAATAAACTACAGTGACAGCTTTCAATGTGCAGTTTTACTCATATGCTTTCTACATCAGAGCAAAGCAAACAGAAAAGAGTTCTTGCCAACCATTAGGAAAGATTGACAAAAAATACAGTGTTAATGACATCTTAAAGGCTTTTAAAAGCAGGAGAAAGATGCAAGAAAAGCAAAAATTACATAGTAATTGGAAGTAACGAATAAATTGTTCTTTCAATCTAAGTCATGTTTACTGAAAAAAATGGAGCTTTTTACATCAACATATTTAAACAGAAATTTGCTTTCGAAATACAATCTTTGTTTAAAAGGTACAGAAGGTCTTTATGTCCACCCCAAGAGCTAAATATAGTGAATGCCATGTGAACAATTACCTGAAAAAAACCTAAACCCGTTAAAAGAATTAATTTCCAGCACACCAGTCAGCACTAATCCTCGATGTACAGTAATGTTCTCTCAAGTGATGGGAGGGAAGAAAGAATACAACTGTTTCCTGGATAAAAACCCTTCAATATTCAACAACAAAATGGAGTGATGACTTGGCTGGTAAATGAATAAAGTGGTGAAATGTCTCCTAAACGAGTTCTGGTGAGGGAGTCCACCTGTAAAGGAATACATTTACTGTACACGGGGACTGGGAAAAAGCTGTTACTGTAATGGCTGCACAAAAACCACATCCTGCTGTTGGGTTTATATTCACAGAAGAAAGGTTTTAAAGGTTAAGTTCAGGTCATACGACAAATGAAATTGTAACAAGCCAGCTGACATTGTATAATGTCTTCTTCCACTCGATCAATAGGCTACTGTTAGTCCTATTACCATAGAGATGGCTTGCTCTTTCCTGAAGGGTGGCTATTGTTTGACAAAACAGATTTGCCACTTGAACTAGGTTGTTCCCAAAGGACGTGTACCTTGTCAATTATTTGTGTTCAAAATAATGAAGTATTTCCATATTAAAATGCATGTAAGAGATAATGCTATCAAGTCCCTTTCTGGAAAGAAAGCAACTTTTCCAGAGTCCCAGATTCCTAAAACCATGCAAATATCCAGTTTAGACGTATTAAGAGTTTTTGATTTAAAACATATGTCAGCAAGTACATGTATTTATCACTATGACTGTATGTTAAAAGAAAAGAGTCACAGGCTTGTGTGCTAATCTAAAGCCCATTATAATCAAGCATAATTAATAAAAAGCTATTTTAAAATGTGGACAACTCAAAGGAAAATTACTGAATGCAAACTATTTGGATTCTGAAAAGATAAAGATTTTTATATTTGATTTTTACAGTGGTTTTTACGTGGAAGGGCACCAACAATTAATATACTGAAAAACATGGAAAAGTTTTAGAAAATAAATCACTTTACTTAAGAGCTATGTATAAGAACTACAGCATTTAAATATACGCATACGTTGTAGAAATAATCTAAAATACAGATGAACTAGCAAAATAAATACAAGTATTAGTTTTCTTTAAAATGTCTTTGTCTTGAATGCCTTGTGAAAATTAGTGACTCATACATTTAATACAGAACAGGTAAGTTCTAAATTTCAACCTAGATACTTGAAAATGAAAAAAGATGAGTTTTTCTCTCAACGGAAATAACAACAGAGCCTTAATTATAAAGGATTGGAAGAAACAATTCTAATAATGATTATTCTAATCACTTAGGAAAAGAAAGCATTCATAATACTAATCAGCCCAAGTAGAAATATTATTTTAAACATTTTGTACTTGAAGATTTGGCTATCACTGAAAACTGTAACACTGAAATAAAAATAGATTAAATGATATAGATTAAAATTCAGTAAATGATCAACAATTAAAACATTTGAATTTGAAAGCTTTCCACAAGTAGATTTAAAAGTAAGCTTGAGTCATAATTATGTTAACTTTTACCTTTCTACAAATAATCAAAAGACACTTTAGAAAGAATTTAGTAGAAGGGCAGTAATCTGACAAGTGTAAATAGAAACATCAGTCTCTAAAAATGACATCTGAAATTGTTTGTTCAAATTATATGATATTTACATACAAAATTATTTGTTTTTATAATAAAATCTGCAATAGTTTTTGAAAGAAATGTTTTAACTTGGTTTTCCCTTTGCAGGAAGTATAATTTGTATTTTTTCACTCTAATCCGTTTAGGCATAGGTTAGGCTGAGTTAATATTAAAGGAGCCAAACAAAGACAAATGAGTTTACCAATATCCCAAACTAATGACCCATTTTTTTAAAAGCAGGGTAGCCTTCCAAACTAGGAAAGCCTTCCATCATAAAGCAAGTGGGGTCTAATTTGCCTATCTTCCCTATAGCTATAAAGGAACAAACTGAAACCTTACTAAAACCACAGCCCAAATTGATTTCCTTAGTTAACAGCCTCATTTCAAAACATATACAACATGTGCATATTTAGAATACAATATAATTAGTTATTAGCTCTGGACCTGACAGGCAGCTGCCCATCAGCAATACTGTGAGTAATTAAATGATATTTACCATTTACTAAAAGATGAACTTCATGTTGTTGAATTAAACTGGCCCATCTGCATCTTCATAAAATGACAAACCTTATTAGTTCTGCCTAACCAGAGAATTGTGATAATGAACTGGTGACACCCTCTCTCCATTGTATGAAGCAGAACCAACTGTGTAATCATTTGAGGGGTCAAATGCATATGAAATTACTGTAAATTAAGAAAGTGAAATCACAGGAGTGATGAGGGAAACCATTCAAGCAACAAATTTTTTTTTAATGTATGTACTTCAGTCATAAGAAAACTCCATCTCCAATTAGTCAAAATTAATTTTAATTAATCAACTACTTTACCTGAAAACGGTGAAAAAAAGGAGTGATGCAGCTACTGCTCCGAATAAGCCACACAGAAGATTGACTCGGTAGGCAACTGAACCAAAAGGAAACAGTATAATTGCCAGTTTAGCCACCAGAGTGAACAAAGGATAGCCAGGAGGATGGGCAACCTAAGGGAAAATTAGCAACAGTCAGAAGATTTTCATCTAGTAAAGGAAGAGTCACACTGGCTTTAATTGAAAAGTAGCCCTTTTCTCGGGCAAGTATAAAGATTAAGAGACAATGACTAAATGTTTGAATAGTGGTTTTTCTATTGTAATCCTCTTGTGCCAATACAAATAAATATTTTCTTTAGTGGATTTGACAGCGTCTATCACATGGTGTGTCACCTAGAGAAAGGGTGACATATTTCATTGTCAGTTCTTAAGCAGTTTGTTCTCTGGGTTCACAGTACATTAGGGTCATTTAAAAGGCTATTGAAAAAAGGCAGGTTCTGAAATATCGTACTGGTTAGAAAGTTGAAAGACCACACTGCTATCGGATTACCACCATGCTGACAGTCCTAAGGTCTTGCCTAAAGCGATCATGCACCATAATAAAGTTTATTAAATAATAAACTTATTAAAACTGTTAACCCGATTTATTTCATTCTCCATAGCTTATACAAAATTTGGGGTGATAATAAGCCAGCTACTGTATATATAGTAAAGGCTTTGCTTTATAATTTAGTTTAATTGGATTTAAAACTTAAAGTAAATTGTCACGTACTGTACTTATAAGTTACTAAAAACTGGGGTTTGAAAATAAATTAATCTACTTTACTCCATGCTTAATTAAACTTTCTTAATTCCTAAAACTGTTAATGAGAGCATTGATTAAACAATAAAACTAATACTTACTCCAAGCTCATGTGCGGCTGTGATCAGTTCCCCTGTGAAAAAATAATGTAAAACCAATAATTACTATTAGAAAATGACACTCCTCCGAAGTTTTCAAAATCCAAATGCTTGCATTGGGGTTTTGCATTAATTTGACTGGATAAAACTGTAAATCTGTAGAGATTTAACAGCATGAAATAGTCTCAGAATATTTTCTCCCTTAGGTCTTCTTGAACAAACTATCTCTGATAGTTTTTAATAACTGGTCAGTGGAAATATAGGTGAATTCTAGTTTTTAAAAATGCTTATCTTCCCTCTTGAAAGTTGTATACACTTGCAACTACATAAAAACTCTTACAGAACATTAGTGTAAAATACTGTATTACCCCTTGAGAACTAAGTACAGAACTGTCCGTAAAGATACAACTTTGTGACATGTAAAAGGTGCAGACATCAGAGACTTGAACAGTCTATAAAATGTGCCATTCTGCCCCAAACTGGCATTTGGATACTTTGCCTACATTGATTATATTGGATATCTCTAAACAATTGCCAAATGCTTATTAACTCCAAGTGATTTTGGTAAGTTCTGACTACCACAGTACATTTTTTCAAACCATTAAGTCATCACATCATTTACACAGTTCTTTATAATTCCTCACCATTAGCGATTATTTCTAAAATTGTGATGTAGTAATTCAGTGCCTATTTGTTAAAACAAAGCACAGGCTTTGTGCTCTCATCCCTATACAACTTAACGCAGTACAATGTAAGAATCAATATTTACTGATGATTTATGAAATTTACTATTATCTATTGGTAAATGTATTAATGTCCATTTTCTATCCTTCAGTGGATGTCAATACTCTTTATCTCTACTGCCCTGGCCAGTTTAGACCTTTCCCCTCCCAGGCCTGGGCTGTAGCAACAGTTTGACCAATCTTCTACTTCAATCCATCTGCCTACTGAAGTCACTTACTACTGCCACCCCCACCCGCCAAAGGTCAGACTGTTTCCTTAGTCGAAAAATCCTCCACAGCTGCTCTCTGCAGACTGAACAAAGTTGATTCCTCAGCATGACATGCCAGCCCTCCATGGCTTCGAGGTCCCTTTCCAAGGTTTATGTCCGTGAAACCTATGCTCACCTTAGTCACACCTGACTACCCGTTGTTCTTCTGGAACGGTCCTCTTTGCACTTCTCATCTCTCATTTTCTCACCAAGCATCTCCTCATAAGTCCTTTAAGCCCTGGTTCAATTTAACCTTCTCAGTGACACCTTTCCTTACACATCCCCATCCCCATCCTGCCCCATCATAATTAATCACTTCTTCCTCCTCCATAGAACCTGCTCGAACCTATTTAGCACTTATTTAGATTGCCTTATATTCTGTTAGTTGTTTTCATTTGTCTTTTCTACTAAGTTGAACATATTATCCTACCCATTTCAGGGTACTGTCAAGACATCGGCGCCTCTCCCTCCTCTTGCCACACAGAGAATCTCATTCAAAACCTGCACATGGAGGTTGATGAAAAGACCCATCACGTTGTCATCCTTGCTACTTAAATGGCCCCTTCTCAGGCTGAATGACAGCTTGCTCCATGGAAATCCCACAAAGGCACCAAAGACAGATGCTGCTTAGTTAAGTCACTTACTGAAGGACATCTTTAAAGTTTTCTGCAGATATTCAAGAACATCTTACAAGCCAAAGGTACTTTTTGTATCTTATATAAATTATTTATGGTTTAAAAATGTTTAAAATAACTGTTTCCTTTGTAACTACTGTTACCAAACCATTTTATAGTTTTACTCTAGAATGGGTTTGCTATCACGTCCTCCATCCCAAACGGTTTTAATCAGTTTTTTGTTCTTGTATTTCTGTAGATATGATGAAGCAGTTGAGTTCAAATTTGCGAGGTCACTATTCATTATCCTCCATTTAAAATGTATTTAGAATTACACTTAACATTACGAAAAACATCCTATTTTCTCTAACTTCTTTTTACCTTTGAAAAGTCAATGTGCTGCTATTCTTTGCTGGAGTTCTGTTGGCAGAAAGATGAATCTGAATGTGACAAACCTCTAACACCAACATGTATCAAATGTTAAACTAAAATCTAAACAGAAAAGATGCTACTATTCAAAGTCTATGAGGGTATCCTTGATAAAAAGCTAAAGGGAGACACTACTCTTAAAATTGAGTATGATAAAAAGAAAAGTAAATAGTTGAAAAAAAAAAGAGCTTCCTGGGTCCTGGCTGTCCCCCAACTCTTTATAAGAGGGTTTCCTCCAATGGAAGTCCTACTACAACCTGCATCAGAATTACCTGGACGCCTCTAAAAAAAGAAGATTCCTTGACCATACCGCCAACCTCCCTACGCTAAACCCTCTGGCATCGGGCCTAAGCTCCCCGGGCAGCTCTCAAGTACATGCAAATTTGAGAACCACAGCTTTTCCATTTGGGTCACAGATGGGTGGCAAGCTCAGAGTTGTCAGCAGATGCTTCACCTTTACAAAACCCAGCTCCCTCTGTACTACACTTTTTATATTAATTATACAATTATACTGTCATACATCAAGTATGTTCAAGACGTATCTTAAAAATATATAAACACATAGAAGCAAATTTATTTTTCCCAAAATAACAAACAGAAGTGAAGGCTAGATTCCTACGCTTTCCTCTAAAGGACCAGTAGCGCTCCTGCCCATAAATCAACTATGTGTATCAAGCAATGCAAAATAATTTTTGGCAAGGCCACATGTGATAGATTTATGGAGTATAATTTAAGACTTATCAGGAAGAAGAATACATGCTTTATGTTGGTTTTGAGATGTGTTCTATTTATTGGTAAGAAAATACATTCCATAAACACAAAATTCAAAGAGAACAGTACATTCAACATATAAACAAAATTATCAAAGATGTGATTATACAAGTTTTACTGGCAATACTTGGAAAATATATAAGTATTAGAAGCAACCACCATTTAGTGTCAAACCAAACAAGTCAGAACACCCAAAAAGTCTGGTAACTCAAAGTGAATAGATGTTTATTTTGGGAGAAAAAATAGAAGACAGCATTAATAAAAATAAGGCAAAAACAACACATTTTAAGTAGGCCTTATCACTAAATATGTGATGACAGATTTAATAAAGAATTTACAGCACAAGTTGATAGAGCATGTTCTAAAGTCAACCTACTTGGGTTCTCTCCTTGACTGCCCCTACTTTCCAGCTGTGATTCTGGACACAGCTTAACCTTAGTTTTGTCATCTATAAAATAAAGAAACTGACAATACCTACCTCACAAGGTAGGAGCTGGGAGGATTAAAATGACAATTCACAAAAGGTACTTGGAACAGTGCCTGGCACAAAGTAAGTGTTCAGTGTTATTCATTCCAACCCCATCCTTCAGGCTCTAACAACCATGGTAAATAACTGTCAGTGTTTTGTTTTGTTTTGAAAGGTACAGAACTACCCAGTTCTGAGTAATGATCTCAGTAATGTCAAAACTCTCACACTAGTTATTTCTACTATCTAATATAAGCCTTGGCAACATGGTAACTCTATTTCCCACTATGTTAAAGAAACATTGCTCCTTTTTGCGCCATAGGACCTGAAAGAGCAAAGGTAATAACCTGTAAAAGGAACAAGGATCCTCAATGTGGTAGGCAGCCTTGAAAATGGCCCTCAACATATCCCAACTCCTACTATTCTCACTGTGTAATCCTCTCCCCTTGAGTGTGGCCTGGACAAACTAACTTCCAAGAATAAAACAGGACAGTGGTGTGTCTTTTCCAAGATGAGGTTACAAAGTGACAGAGTTGTCAGGCAGGGGTGCCATCTCTTTCTCTTGACAGAAGTCAGCTTACAGGGAAACCCATTTGGCGAAGAAGTGGATGGGGCTTAGATGCTAATCCCTGCCAAGCCGAACCTTGAGAGGACTGAAGCCCCAGCTCACACCATGACAGCAACCTTGTCATGAGTTAAAGGCACCCACTTACACTGCATCAGGATCTCTGATCCACAGAAAACATGAGATAATAAATGTTCGTTGTTTTAAGCCACTAAATTTGGGGATATCTTGTTATGCAGTAACTAGTGCACTCGGTGTTTTTCAGTCTACAGATTCACTACCCAAAGTTACAGCACCATTCTGACAAAATCACTGTTAGTAGGCATTATTGGGTGGTCACTAAATCTGGCAGCAAAACAAATCCTGAAATAAAACCTGAATCTTGTCTCTCATCCCAAATACATAACGATTATTCATGTGATTTAAAAGGTCCCCGAGTCACGCTTTTCTTTTTAACAGAAGCAGCTTGTTTAAAGCCGCAACCGGCTTCCACTCTTTCAAGCGTTCTCCGGAAAATAATCTGCAAGGCTGTCTCCTTTTCGACAATAGGGTTTCAACTAAAATACCATTTCCTCAGAAGCCTTTCCCGACTAGCCATTCCCTACCCCACTGTCCAGCACATTTTCCTCTGCCTCCACTAACTTATCACCACTTAACATGTAGTTGTTTATTCAGCAGTCTGTGTATTGTCTCTGCCCGCATTACAACCCTCTCCACCCTTGTTCACCACTCGTTATCCCTTTGGCTGGAACACGACTTTAAGGACTCAGTAAGCTACATCTGTGGACTAAAAAGGAAGGGAAAGCAAAAACTCAAATTCAGAAAAATGATCTGGAGAAGTGGAGAGGTGGGTGTGTCCCAACAGGTGAAACCAACCAGATCCGCCTCGAAAGCCTGTGCGCTAAAGAGACCAGAATTAAAGGAAAATTACAGGGATGGAAACAGAAGTTGGCTGTGACTGCAAAACCCTGCCTGCAAAAACCAGGCTGGCGGGCGCATGGAGGGGGCCGGCTGACCAGACCTAGAGAGGACAGTGCGGACCACAGACGAGGCAGAAAGGACGACCTGAAAGTACTTTACCCGAGTCGCCCCCCGGCACCGAGGGGGGCAGCGTGAGGGTGAACACCGCGGCCACAGCGGCGAACACGGCGACGCCGCCGCGAAAGGCCCCCGGA